GGCCAGTGGAAACTACCGCACCGCTACTCTCCCGCGTGTATCAGCGGGCTCAGTCGTATTATCGCGGCATGAAGGCCCATATTAACTAAATACAAGAGCCGCTGACGAAAATACTTTACAAAAAACGCAAATTTTAAAAAAGTGGGCTTTTCAACAATGGCTTTTACGGCCAAGATATTGTCCTGGCGTTTTCGCCATGACAATAACAATCTTTATTTATTGTAAAAGTTCAAACTTATCAAGATGACAGTCTATTTACTCGTTTCTGAATTTGTTTTCATTATGTCGGCCAACTGTCGGTGAACTGTCAGTGAGCTGTTGGTCATCTGTTGGTCGACAGTTGGCCGACAGATATTTTGGGGAGCTCTTCTTCAATGTTACCAGATTTTTCTAAATACAATAACTTATAACATATTGCACAAGGTATCCTGCCAGAGTCAAATACTCAGCCAGCAAAAATCTATTATTAACAAATCCATTCCTAAAATCTTAGAAATCAAGCTGAAAATTAACCATTCAAGATATTCATTAGAAATCTAGAGGTAGTTTTCTTATTGCACTCTGATTTATTTCTTATCCTGGTAGTCTTTCTATCCACAAATTACAGTGTTTTGATAATTTAAATTTAAGTATGAATGATAACAATCATAGTGAAACTATGGTGAACCCCTCAATGCACATGGAGAATATCACTGCTTACTTTACTGGGTCAAGTCCAAGGTTGTAAGAAAAACTTGATGTTTAAATCCTACTACTTAAAAAAAATAAGTTCTTATGAGGGAATCATCAGTATTGAAATTCTGAATTATGGGCTCTTCCAAAGTACACATCTGATACAAAATTAAACTTCATTCCCTCAATAGTCCTCCCCAATCAATCTGTCATATTCAACAATTGATTCACCATCATAATAAGACTGTGCTCTCCCCAGATTCCTGAGCCTGTGCTAATGCTACAAGATTAGCATATGGAATCCCCAAATTGAATGTTCTATGCTTCCCAGATCCTCGTGTAAATAGAAAAACTTACTTAATTTATGATCACATATCTACCATAGAATTAGTCTGCACTTAAATAATTTAAAAGTAAAAATTTGTGAAGAGCCTGGAATAAACAAGAAGTTTGAGTCCCTGTGAGTATTACAACCTCAGCCAATTCCAATTTTTTCTCAGTCAGAGAGAAAACACTTGATCAAAATAAAACTTTTCCACTGCTCGCTCCCAACTCTCATAGCATCAAATCTATAACTCTAAATGTAATAATGATCAACCTTAGACTATAAAATAACTAACCATCAAAAAGTTGTTATTCTAGGTTACATACGCTTACTTATTGTATGAGTGGAAGGGCAGGATAGGAAAATATTTGGCTAGAGGTCATAATGTACAAAATGAGCCTCCTTGATCCACATGTTTTGTTGCCTGACTCGACCTAACTCAATTTCCAACCGTTTCCTCAAATAACTACAGTAGCTGCTTTTCATCTGTCTTCTTGAATTTGACTTCTCATAGAGCCGTATGCACGACCGTGAAGC